GCAGGTACCAGAATTTGAAAAAAGAGAGTATCTATAGCGGGAGGTGGGCGCCTCGAATTGGTTAACTACATTACCGATAAGGGCCAAATGGTTTCAGTCTCAATAAACAGAATTTACAGATGCCAATGCTCCTAGGTATGTGGTAGGCCAGTAGAAGGTTGCCTCCCCAATGCGTGTGTGGCTCTTCCAATGACGTCGATCACGCCATGGTGTGCAAGAAATGGGGCGTCATATGCATGAGGCATGACGAAGCAAGGGATCTCACAGCAAATATGTTGAAGGAAATCTGTCGTGATGTCAGGGTAGAACCGACCCTTCTTCCATTTGATGGTGAGAATTTCCAACATAGGAATTCAAACACATCCAACGAAGCCCGTGCTGACGTCAGTGCTAGAGGATTCTGGACGCGGGAACAGCGAGCCTTCTTCAACATCTGGATTTTTTATCCTATGGCCGCATGTCACCGTAACTTAGTTCTCGATGCTGCACACATGAGGAACGAGAACGACAAGATAAGGGCATACGGGGAGAGAATTCAGAACGTTGATCAAGGCAGCTTCATTCCTTTGGTGTTCACAACCTCTGGTGGGATGGGACCAAGTGCAAGATGCTTCTACGCCAGACTCGCAGAGGTGCTATCCGAACAGAAGCAGCAGCCCAGAAGTTATGTTCCAGCCTGGATGAGATGTCGACTGTCCTTCTCTCTCCTTAGGTCTGCTTTGCTCTGTCTCAGGAGAACGAGAGCATCGGCCCCAAGGCCGACAACAGTTGCAGATATTGACTATGAGGCTACAGTCACTGAATGCCACATAGATCTGCGACTCAACTAACTCAACACAGCTAGGGTAGCTACTTATGTATTAGTATATTTAATTTTAAAGTAATAAAATGGCGGCGAAGGTGTGGCTATTGGGGGAGGCTGGAGGCCACGTTGATAATAAATAGTAGAGTGTGTGTGTGTGTTTGTGTGTGTATATTTGTGAGCATGTGGGTGTGTGTGTGTGTGTGTGTGTGTGTGTGTGTGTGTTTGTTCGCCCCTGTGGCCCAATGGATAAGGCATTGGCCTCTGGCCTCCTAAACCAAGGATTGTGGGTTCAAGCCCCACCAGGGGATAATTGTGTGTGTGTGTGTGGGGCGGGGGGGTCCGAAGGGTGGTGTAATGCTTATAGTGTGGCAGCATTATGTTAGTGTTAAGGTGCAGGTACTACATGCTTCCTCTCACTTTCAGCTACAGCCGCTGGCTAGCCCTCGTGGTGAACAAGGAAGCAGCCTTGCACCACAGTGGAGAACATGGTGTTAACCACAGTGCTGATCATGGTGTTAACCACAGTGCTGATCATGGTGTTAACCACAGTGGTGAACAAGGTTAGGTTAGGTTAGGTTAGGTCAGTTTGGCTTAAAATGAATGGCTTGCTATGTAGAGTTGGAGTATAGTTAAAGAAAATCCACACAGTTGGAGTTGATGTTAACCAAGAAAGTTAACTTGGCACCACTTTCTCCAAGGAGTGAACTTTTATAATATGAACAAAGCTATCCTGAAGTTGAACACACTTTATCCTTAATATGAACACACTTTATCCTTAATATAAACATCTTTTATCCTCAATATGAACGCACTTTATTCAATATGAACACACTTTATCCTTAATATGAAATATAATTTTATCCTAATATGAACACACTTATCCTTAATATGAACACACTTTATCCTTAATATGAACACACTTTATCCTGTTGAATTTACACTTTTAACCTGAAGTTGAACAAACTTATCCTTATTATGAACACACTTTTATCCCAATATGAAATAATACCTCATCCTTATTATTAACACTTTTTATCCTCAATATGAACGCACTTTATCCTTAATATGAACACACTTTATCCTTAATATGAACACACTTTATCCTTAATATGAACACACTTTATCCTTAATATGAACACACTTTATCCTTAATATGAACACACTTTATCCTGAAGTTGAACAAACTTTATCCTTAATATGAACACACTTTATCCTTAATATGAACACACTTTATCCTGAAGTTGAACACACTTTATCCTGAAGTTGAACAAACTTTATCCTTAATATGAACACACTTTATCCTTAATATGAACACATTTTATCCTTAATATGAACACTTTATCCTGAAGTTGAACACACTTTATCCTTAATATGAACACACTTTATCCTTAATATAAACACTTTTTATCCTTAATATGAACACACTTTACCCTTAATATGAACAGACTTTATCCTTAATATGGACACACTTTATCCTTAATATGGACACACTTTATCCTTAATATGAACACACTTTATCCTGAAGTTGAACACACTTTATCCTGAAGTTGAACACACTTTATCCTGAAGTTGAACAAACTTTATCCTTAATATGAACACACTTTATCCTTAATATGAACACACTTAATCCTGAAGTTGAACACACTATATCCTGAAGTTGAACACACTTTATCCTGAAGTTGAACAAACTTTATCCTTAATATGAACACACTTTATCCTTAATATGAACACACTTAATCCTGAAGTTGAACACACTATATCCTGAAGTTGAACACACTTTATCCTTAATATGAACACACTTTATCCTTAATATGAACACACTTTATCCTTAATATGAACACACTTTATCCTTAATATGGACACACTTTACCCTTAATATGAACACACTTTACCCTTAATATGAACAGACTTTATCCTTAGCATAAGCATATAACATCACCAATTGCATTATTTAACTATTCACCCAAATGTATAATACCAAGTTATTCACTAAGTTATTCAACAATGACTCGGTTGTTGTTCACTAAGTTATTCAACAATGACTAAGTTGTTGTTCATTAAGTTATTCAACAATGACTCAGTTGTTGTTCACTAAGTTATTCAACAATGACTCAGTTGTTGTTCACTAAGTTATTCAACAATGACTAAGTTGTTGTTCATTAAGTTATTCAACAATGACTCAGTAGTTGTTCACTAAGTTAATCAACAATGACTCAGTTGTTGTTCACTAAGTTATTCAACAATGACTCAGTAGTTGTTCACTAAGTTATTCAACAATGACTCAGTAGTTGTTCACTAAGTTATTCAACAATGACTCAGTAGTTGTTTATGTTATACATGCTGAGTCTATAACTTCATCAAGAGTCAGGCGAGGTCAAGCCCACTAATCACAACACCCGGCCTGACGCTCCTCGTCCACTCTCACGCTCAGAGCGAGAGGAGAGGCAGAATATTACCATGCGCTCAGGGGTGAACACTTCACTTAAAGTGTTCCTATAAAAGTGTACTCCAAACACTTCCCCTGGAGAGAATTCACAATACATTCTCTCCTAAACTAAGTACCTGTGTAGATCAGCCGCTTCAGTAATAAATAAAGCCCAGAACAAGCGTTTCCATCAGCCTTGCCACTTAAGAGTTTTACAACTAAGTTAAAACAATTGTGTGTGATATAAAAAAACCACTATTTCAAACACACTTTATCCTTAATGTGAACACACTTTATCCTTAATGTGAACACACTTTATCCTTAATATGAACACACTTTATCCTTAATGTGAACACACTTTACACTCCATATGAACACACTTTATCCTTAATGTGAACAGACTTTACACTCCATATGAACACACTTTATCCTTAATGTGAACACACTTTATCCTTAATGTGAACACACTTTATCCTTAATGTGAACACACTTTACACTCCATATGAACACACTTTATCCTTAATGTGAACACACTTTACACTCCATATGAACACACTTTATCCTTAATGTGAATAGACTTTAACCTCCATATGAACACACTTTACACTCCATATGAACACACTTTATCCTTAATGTGAACACCCTTTACACTCCATATGAACACACTTTATCCCTAATGTGAACACACTTTACACTCCATATGAACACACTTTATCCTTAATGTGAACACACTTTATCCTTAATGTGAACACACTTTACACTCCACATGAACACACTTTATCCTAAATGTGAACACACTTTACACTCCATATGAACACACTTTATCCTTAATGTGAACACACTTTACACTCCATATGAACACACTTTATCCTTAATGTGAACACACTTTACACTCCATATGAACACACCTTATCCTTAATGTGAACACACTTTACACTCCATATGAACACACTTTATCCTTAATGTGAACACACTTTACACTCCATATGAACACACTTTATCCTTAATGTGAACACACTTTATCCTTAATGTGAACACACTTTACACTCCATATGAACACACTTTATCCTAAATGTGAACACACTTTACACTCCATATGAACACACTTTATCCTTAATGTGAACACACTTTATCCTTAATGTGAACACACTTTACACTCCATATGAACACACTTTATCCTTAATGTGAACACACTTTATCCTTAATGTGAACACACTTTACACTCCATATGAACACACTTTATCCTTAATGTGAACACACTTTATCCTTAATGTGAACACACTTTACACTCCATATGAACACACTTTATCCTTAATGTGTGAACACTTTACTTTACACTCCATATGAACACACCTTATCCTTAATGTGAACACCCTTTACACTCCATATGAACACACTTTATCCTTAATGTGAACACACTTTACACTCCATATGAACACACTTTATCCTTAATGTGAAAACACTTTATCCTTAATGTAAACACACTTTACACTCCATATGAACACACTTTATCCTAAATGTGAACACACTTTATCCTTAATGTAAACACACTTTACACTCCATATGAACACACTTTATCCTTAATGTGAACACACTTTACACTCCATATGAACACACTTTATCCTTAATGTGAACACACTTTATCCTTAATGTAAACACACTTTACACTCCATATGAACACACTTTATCCTTAATGTGAACAGACTTTTACCCAATGAATTCAACACGTCATGACCTTGTTCACCAGGAAGATGAAAAAAAGAGTTTCCCTCAGAGGTAACTTGGTGTGGCCCTGATAACACATGGTGTGGCCCTGATAACACATGGTGTGGCCCTGATAACACATGGTGTGGCCCTGATAACAAATGGTGTTGCCCTGATAACACATGGTGTGGCCCTGATAACAAATGGTGTTGCCCTGATAACACATGGTGTGGCCCTGATAACACATGGTGTTGCCCTGATAACACATGGTGTGGCCCTGATAACACATGGTGTGGCCCTGATAACAATTGGTGTGGCCCTGATAACAAATGGTGTGGCCCTGATAACAAATGATGTGGGCCTGATATCAAATGGTCTGGCCGTGATAACAAATGGTGTAGCCCTGATAACAAATGGTGTGGCCTTGATAACAAATGACGTGGCTTTAATAACAAGTTTTGTGACCCTGATATCAAATGGTGTGGCCCTGATAACAAATGGTGTGGCCCTGATAACAAATGATGCAGCCTTAATAACAAATGATGTGGCTTTAATAACAAATGGTGTGGCCCTGATATCAAATGGTGTGGCCCTGATAACAAATGGTGTGGCCCTGATAACAAATAATGTGGCCATAATAACAAATGATGTGACCTTAATAACAAATGATGTGGCCCTGATAACAAATGATGTGGCCCTGATAACAAATGATGTGGCCTTAATAACAAATGATGTGGCCTTAATAACAAATGATGTGGCTTTAATAACAAATGATGTGGCCTTAATAACAAATGGTGTGGCTTTAATTACAAATGATGTGGCCCTGATAACAAATGATGTGGCCTTAATAACAAATGATGTGGCTTTAATTACAAATGATGTGGCCCTGATAACAAATGATGTGGCCCTGATAACAAATGATGTGGCCTTAATAACAAATGATGTGGCTTTAATAACAAATGGTGTGGCCCTGATATCAAATGGTGTGGCCTTAATATCAAATGATATGGCCTTAATAACAAATGATGTGGCTTTAATTACAAATGATGTGGCCTTAATAACAAATGGTGTGGCCCTGATAAGAAATGATGTGGCCTTAATAACAAATGATGTGACCTTAATAACAAATGATGTGGCCTTAATAACAAATGATGTGGCTTTAATTACAAATAATGTGGCCCTGATATCAAATGGTGTGGCCTTAATAACAAATGGTGAGGCCCTGATAACAAATGATGTGGCCTTAATAACAAATGATGTGACTTTATAAATGATGTGGCCCTGATCACAAATGGTGTGGCCCTGATAACAAATGATGTGGCCCTGATAACAAATCATGTGGCCTTAATAACAAATGATGTGACCTTATAAATGATGTGGCTTTAATTACAAATGATGTGACCTTAATAACAAATGATGTGGCCTTAATAACAAATGATGTGACCTTATAAATGATGTGGCCCTGATCACAAATGGTGTGGCCCTGATAACAAATGATGTGGCCCTGATAACAAATGATGTGGCCTTAATAACAAATGATGTGGCCTTAATAACAAATGCTGTGGCCTTAATAACAAATGATGTGGCCTTAATAACAAATGATGTGGCCTTAATAACAAATGATGTGGCTATAATTACAATTGGTGTGGCCCTGATAACAAATGTTGTGGCCCTGATAACAAATGGTGTGGCCCTGATAACAAATGGTGTGGCCTTGATAACAAATGGTGTGGCCCTAATAACAAACAATAACACAATTTTCTGTCATCTCCTCACACTTAATCTATCGTGCTGTTTGCGACACAAGTTGATCCAATATTCATTTTTTAATATAAACATGCTTTTCTTTCCTCACAGAATGTTAACCACAGAGTCGAAAATTATGTTAACCTGAGATGAACTTGACCTGAGCGTATTAATAACAGAGGTGGTGGTGGTGGTGTGGTAAGGCGGTGTTGGCCAGAGGTGGTGGTGTGGTAAGGCAGTGTTGGCCAGTGGTGGTGGTGGTGTGGTAAGGCGGTGTTGGCCAGTGGTGGTGGTGGTGGTGGAAAGGCGGTGTTGCCAGTGGTGGTGGTGGTGTGGTAAGACGGTGTTGGCCAGTGGTGGTGGTGGTGTGGTAGGGGTGTTGGCCAGTGGTGGTGGTGGTAAAGGGCAGGCCAGTGGTGGTGGTGGTGTGGTAAGACGGTGTTGGCCAGTGGTGGTGGTGGTGTGGTAAGACGGTGTTGGCCAGTGGTGGTGGTGGGGTGGTAAGGCAGGCCAGTGGTGGTGGTGTGGGTAAGGCCCAGTGGTGGTGGTGGTGTGGTAAGGCGGTGTTGGCCAGTGGTGGTGGTGGTGTGGTAAGGCGTGGGCCAGTGGTGGTGGCGGTGGTAAGGCGGTGTTCCAGTGTGTGGTGGTGTGGTAAGGCGGTGTTGGCCATGGTGGTGTGTGTGGTAAGGCGGTGCCAGTGGTGGTGGTGGTGTGGTAAGGCGGTGTTGGCCAGTGGTGGTGGTGTTGGTGGTAAGGCGGTGTTGGCCAGTGGTGGTGGTGGTGTGGTAAGGCGGTGTTGGCCAGTGGTGGTGGTGGTGTGGTAAGGCGGTGTTGGCCAGTGGTGTGGTGGTGTTGGTAGGCAAGGGTGTTGGCCAGTGGTGGTGGTGGTGTGGTAAGGCAGGCCAGTGGTGGTGGTGGTGTGGTAAGGCGGTGTTGGCCAGTGGTGGTGGTGGTGTGTAAGGCGGTGTTGGCCAGTGGTGGTGGTGGTGTGGTAAGGCGGTGTTGGCCAGTGGTTGGTGGTGTAGGCGGTGTTGGCCAGTGGTGGTGGTGGTGTGGTAACGGTGTTGGCCAGTGGTGGTGGTGGTGGTGGTAAGGTGTTGGCCAGTGTGTGGTGGTGTGTGGCGGTGTTGGCCACAGAGTTCGGTGAGACCCGGCAATTTTAATCACAGACTTAACTTATCTCAGTCTTGTTAACCGCATCATTGAACATGGCCCGGTCTTGTTAACCGCATCATTGAACATGGCCCGGTCTTGTTAACCGCATCACTGACATGGCCCGGTCTTGTTAACCACATCACTGAACATGGCCCGGTCTTGTTAACCGCATCACGAACATGGCCCGGTCTTGTTAACCACATCACTGAACATGGCCCGGTCTTGTTAACCACATCACTGAACATGGCCCGGTCTTTTTAACCACATCACTGAACATGGCCTGGTCTTGTTAACCACATCGTTGAACATGGCCTGCTTGTTAACCACATAGTTGAACATGGCCCGGTCTTGTTAACCACATAGTTGAACATGGCCCGGTCTTGTTACAGCATAGCTGAACATGGCCCGGTCTTGTTAACCACATAGTTGAACATGGCCCGGTCTTGTTAACAGCATACATGAACATGTTGAACATGGCCCGGTCTTGTTAACCACATAGTTGAACATGGCCCGGTCTTTTAACCACATAGTTGAACATGGCCCGGTCTTGTTAACCATCATGCTGAACATGGCCCGGTCTTGTTAACAGCATAGTTGAACATGGCCCGGTCTTGTTAACCACATAGTTGAACATGGCCCGGTCTTGTTAACAGCATAGTTGAACATGGCCCGGTCTTTTTAACCACATTATTGAATGGCCCGGTCTTGTTAACCACATAGTTGAACATGGCCCGGTCTTGTTAACCACATAGTTGAACATGGCATTTGCCTTTAACCACATAGTTGAACATGGCCCGGTCTTTTAACCACATAGAACATGGCCCGGTTGTTAACCATATTGAACATGGCCCGTCTTGTTAACTACAGAACATGGCCCGTCTTGTTAACCACATAGTTGAACATGATCCGGCCTTGTAACCACATAGTTGAACATGGCCCGGTCCTTTTTAACCACATAGTTGAACATGGCCCGGTCTTGTTAACCACATAGTTGAACATGGCCCGGTCTTGTTAACCACATAGTTGAACATGGCCCGGTCTTGTTAACCGCATAGTTGAACGTATCTGGGTCTTGTTAACCACATAGTTGAACATGGCCCGGTCTTGTTAACCACATAGTTGAACATGGCCCGGTCTTGTTAACAGCATAGTTGAACATGGCCCGGTCTTGTTAACCACATAGTTGAACATGGCCCGGTCTTGTTAACCACATAGTTGAACATGGCCCGGCTCTTTTTACCATAGTTGAACATGGCCTGGTCTTTTTAACCACATAGTTGAACATGGCCCGGTCTTGTTAACCACATAGTTGAACATTGCCCGGTCTTATTAACACATAGTTGAACATGACCCGGTCTTGTTAACCACATAGTTGAACATGGCCCGATCTTGTTAACCACATAGTTGAACATGGCCCGGTCTTGTTTACCACATAGTGAACATGGCCCGGTCTTTTTAACCACATAGCTGAACATGGCCGGTCTGTTAACCACAGAGTTGAAAAATGCCCGGTCTTGTTAACCACACAGTTGAACATGCCCGTCTTGTTAACCACACAGTTGAACAAGGCCCGGTCTTGTTAAACACATAGTTGAACATGGCCCGGTATTGTTAACCACATAGTTGAACATGGCCCGGTCTTGTTAACCACATAGTGAACATGGCCGGTCTCTTTTCACCACATAGTTGAACATGGCTTCGGTCTTTAACCACATAGTTGAAAATGGCCCGGTATTGTTAACCACATAGTTGAACATGGCCCGGTCGTGTTAACAGCATAGTTGAACATGACCCGGTCTTGTTAACCACATAGTTGAACATGGCCCGGTCTTGTTAACATACATGAACATGTTGAACATGGCCCGGTCTTTTTAACCACATAGTTGAACATGGCCCGGTCTTTTTAACACATAGTTGAACATGGCCCGGTCTTGTTAGCCACATAGTTGAACATGGCCAGTCTTGTTAACCACATAGTTGAACATAGCCCGGTCGTTAACAGCATAGTTGAACATGGCCGGTCGTGTTAACAGCATAGTTGAACATGGCCCGGTCTTTTAACCATATGTTGAACATGGCCCGGTCTTGTTAACCACATAGTTGAACATGGCCGGTCCTGTTAACCACATAGTTGAACATGGCCCTGTCTTGTTACATAGTTGAACATGGCCCGGTCTTGTTAACCACATAGTTGAACATGGCCCGGTCTTTTTTACCACATAGTTGAACATGGCCTGGTCTTTTTAACCACATAGTTGAACATGGCCGAATTGTTAACACATAGTTGAACATGGCCAGGTCTTGTTAACCACATAGTTGAACATGGCCCGTCATGTTAACAGCATAGTTGAACATGGCCCGTCTGTTTACCATAGTTGAACATGGCCCGGTCTTGTTAACCACATGAACAGTTGAACATGGCCCGGTCTTGTTAACCACATAGTTGAACATGGCCTGGTCTTGTTAACCACATAGTTGAACATGGCCCGTCTTGTTAACCATACATAATAGTTGAACATGGCCCGCTTTTTAACCATATAGTTAACATGACCGGGTCTTGTTAACCACATAGTTGAACATGGCCCGGTCTTGTTAACCGCATTGTTGAACGTGGCCCGATCTTGTTAACCACATAGTTGAACATGGCCCGGTCTTGTTAACCTCATAGTTGAAAGTGGCCCGGTCTTGTTAACAGCATAGTTGAACATGGCCCGGTCTTGTTAACCACATAGTTGAACATGACCCGGTCTTGTTAACCACATAGTTGAACATGACCAGATCTTGTTAACCACATAGTTGAACATGACCCGATCTTTTTACCCACATTATTGAACATGGCCCGGTCTTGTTACCCGCATAGCTGAAAGTGGCCCGGTCTTGTTAACCATATAGTTGAACATGACCCGGTCTTGTTAACAGCATAGTTGAACATGACCCGATCTTGTTAACCACATAGTTGAACATGACCCGGTCTTGTTAACCACATAGTTGAACATGACCCTGTCTTGTTAACAGCATAGTTGAACATAACCCGATCTTGTTAACCACATAGTTAACATGACCCAGTCTTGTTAACCATATAGTTGAACATGACCCGGTCTTGTTAACTGCATAGCTGAAAGTGGCCCGGTCTTGTTAAACACATATTTGAACATGGCCCGGTCTTGTTAACCACATAGTTGAAAGTGGCCCGGTCGTGTTAACAGCATAGTTGAACATGACCCGATCTTGTTAAACCACATAGTTGAACATGACCCGGTCTTGTCAACCACATAGTTGAACATGGCCCGGTCTTATCAACCACATAGTTGAACATGACCCGATCTTGTTAAAACACATAGTTGAACATGACCCGGTCTTGTTAACCACATAGTTGAACATGGCCCGGCCTTTTTTACCACATTGTTGAACATTGCCCGGTCTTGTTAACCACATAG